TTAAAAAAAATCTTAATTTTATGTTCGTCACAACCTATTTTTGGGGTAAAAAGACCATTTTCTGTATAAAAAAATTGCTAAACCCCGCAAACCCCCCAAAACACAGTGCAAATCCCATCCAAACCGTGATAGTGATTGAATCATGTAGTATAGGACTCACTTGGTATCTCAGTAAAGAAAAAATTATAATGTTCCGTTCGTAACAACCTGCTTTTTGGGAATAATTCCATTTTTTGTATAAAAACATTGCTAAACCCCACAAACCTCCAAAAACACAGTGCAAACCCCATCCAAACCTTGTGATAATGATTCAATCACATAGTATAGGACTCAATTTGGTATCTCAATAAAAAATATAATTTTATGTTTGTCACAACCTATTTTGGGGGGAAAAGGCCATTTTTTGTATAAAAAAAATTGCTAAACCCTGCAAACCCCCTAAAACACAGTGCAAAACCCCATCCAAACCCTGTGATAATGATTGAATCACAATTGAGATACCAAGTGAGTCCTATACTACATGATTCAATCACTATCACAAGGTTTGGATGGGGTTTGCATTGTGTTTTTGGGATTTGCGGGGTTTCTGTACAGTATATGAATTAAAGATTATTTAAAAAAATACAATTGATGTTAAAATAATAAAATGATAAAACGAATATGGAATTATCAAAGGGTACAGTATATGAATTAAAGATTATTTTAAAAATAAAATTGATGTTGAAATAATAAAATGATAAAACGAATATGGAATTATCAAAGGGTGGGTCATCTAAGATTCTTCCTGCTGCTGGGTTTGTCTGGGTTCTGCTTGACAAATGTTTCAGGATGTCGACACCATTTCACTCTTCCCCAATAAATATCGATCTCATCTCTTAATCTTTTATGTTGTTTTCCCTTGTTTGTTTTGCCATCCATGGGATTTGTTACTGTTTGTATTCCTACTGACTACCAGTTCAACAACCAGAATGAAAACCGCATTTTTACCACTATTGTTAATAATATTAATAATAATAATATTAATTTTAATATCATTTTATTTATTTGTATTCATTCCCCTCCTCCAATAGCTTGGCTAGGCCTTTCTACTAATACGTCCGCCAGTGTGTGACTATTTTTTATGGGTCGATAAAACATGGGTAGCGTACGATATCTCGATAATAGTTAGCCTAACCCTAACCCTCTTCAGCGTAATGCACCATATTTTTCAACATTAAATGTGGAACACCCTGGCTCTACTAATTGGCTAGTAGTAGGCCCTAGGTTGTGTCGTCAGTTTTTGTGGTTATTTTTTATGGGATTGTCAATGCATAGGTCTACGTACGTAGGTATGATGATAGAGCCTAATATACTTTATTTTGCAATAATTTAATTACAATTCCCCCTGACGAACAGTGATGAACTGGCTGTAAAGATAGCCAAAACAGAGGCTTTCAACCAGCTCGAGTTCTCATTATTTTCCATCCATAACATATATATAGTTTTCCCGTTTCTATTTCATACCCTCTTTGCAGCCGCTGTTTGGTACCTAAGACGATTTTTTGGTATTCATACCCTCTTCGCAGTCATTATTTGGTTCTTGAGAAGTCTTCGCAGCCGCTATTTGTTCCCTGAGACGTCTTTTTTGTAAATAAATAAATAAATAACTATCCCAGTATATACATCCTTTTTAAAATTGATGGTCTGTATGCTATCTTTTTAATTTTCTAAAAATAAATATAGTGTAAAGTCTATTCATATTCAATTCAATTTTATTGGTCAAACTCATTAAAATGGCTTTAAAATTGCCTTGCTTGTCACAGACTACAATATAAACATTAAAAAACGATACAATATTAAAACACATTCTACAGGTCAAACGAAAAAAAGTGTTAAAACAGATGGTTAAAATTGAACAAGTACAATATAAAATTTGGATTTGAATATTTTTGATAGTTGACTTTATTTTTTCACCTTTGATTAAACAACCAAATTGAAGTCGTGCACTGAATTTGCGTGATCATTTCCTCTGTCACCTTTAGTAACTTCAACACCCCATTCAGTAATGTTTATTATTCACAATACTCAAGTATGTTACTGTTACTATGCCAACTTCCACCACCACAACAAAAGAATGTAAACAGCCCTGCCCAGACTATCACTACTAATATTTAAGTCAATTCAATATTGGTGTCAAGTACTGGTATACCTGTACCATCTCTTGGTTTAAAATAAATTCAATCAGCATCAGCAATAATGAATCTTGTAACATTTGTGAGGGAAAAATCCAAATTCCTGAGATTTCATACATAAATTACATAAAATACTTTCATACAGTACATTTTGTATCTACAGGAAATAGATTTGTAGATTCTTACTATTTGAATGTCAAAGAGGACAATGTTTCTTTGCTAAAAATATAATATAATAATTATATAGGACATTGGGATAATCTGTGCTTGTTTGTTCATTATTATTATTTTAGTAGATTATACTGGTTTAGAATATTTTCCCACTGCACTTGAATTTTAATATTGTTTATTTTTTGCTCTTGTAATGTACTGGTTTTCAATATACAGTATCACTCAAAAACCGAAAGGTCCACTGATTAATCTCAGATAAGAAAGTATAATACATACTCCAAGTATTGAAATACACGCCATCGTGTTGGGATTCAATATTTCGACATTAATTATGTCATCATCAGGAATGATGATTCCTGATTCCTGATGATGACATAATTAATGTTGAAATACTGAATCCCAACACGATGGCGTGTATTTCAATACTTGGAGTATGTATTATACTTTCAGTATCACTCAAATTTGGCTAAAATTTAATAAATTAAAATATAGGTGCTATTTAACAAGTTGACTGCCAGACCTTTTTTTATTGTTACTTCCCGTGTGCCAAAACAAGTTTACATGTACAAATATGCTTCTTTGAAATTTTATCTAGTCATATATCATCAAAATGAAGTGTTTATTAATTGGTGGGAAAATATTAGGGGCACAGCACTTGTCCACTTTTTGCATGGGTTGGTATGTTCAAAGGGCCCTCCCACTTGTGCCACTCGAGTATACTGCCAGCAACACGACACAACAAACATACATATGTACGTTATGTGTACGTTATCGTCCCCGAACTACTAGCCGTTAAGTCTGTGGTTTAACAATGTATAACAAAAAAGTAATACATGTACTCTAGAATGTTATCCCGATTTTGACGGGTATAATCGATTATAGCGCCCTCAGCAACACCTTGTGGGACGAGTATACTCGTCTCTGGCAGCCAACTTGTTAAAGAAACACCATTAATATTTGATAGAATTTACATGTTTTAAAGCAAGTATGACTGTATGTTACAAGCTGCAAATACATTACAGTATACAATTAATTCACTAAATAATAATAATAATAATAATAATAATAGTTCATTCTTACAGCGCATATAAGCAAGCTCTCAACTACAACAATAACATAGCAGCTACTATGATGATCAATATTTTGCCCAATTCATGTCAAAATAAATTATTATTAATAGTACTACTATAAAATCAATAATACTAAATAAATAATTTATCTATCTACTTTTCGCAAGTGATCTCTGTCCATCAATCATCTATCTCTGTCTATGTCAAAACTCTTTTTGATAAATTTGTGTTGTTTTTGTTTGTTTCTTTCTTTATAATAGTATTCATATAAAATATACAAAAAAAACATTTACAAAGACCAGGGAACAGCCTAAATTAACAGGCTTACGTGGGAAAAATGTTGATAAAAATATTAGAATTCAATTTACAATAATAATTATTAAAAATTTAGATCTTAAATTTTATTTTAGTTGGTCAAGTTATGTCATGTAAATAAATTTCAAAAATACTCACATCTGCTGTTAAGAAGCTGTCTGACAGCTGGCTATGGGGTATGAATCGATTCACAGGGTCTTTATCAAGGTCCACATACAAATGCTCACCATTCGAGTAATATGTTGAATTGTAGTATGCATGCTTATCGCTCTAAAAATTATAAAGAAATAAGGTACTTTAGTACAAGAATTAAAGAGTAAGGGCAATACATACAGCAGGGAGTTGTTATCATTATAACAACTCCCTGCATACAGTAAACTGTAAATTAAAATAGTTCTCATTCCAGAGAAATCATCCTAGGAATGTTAAATTGGTTGGCCTTTGGTTGACATTTCTTTTGTCCTATGGTAGCCTCTGGCCAAAAAAGTTTAAAGCTTATACCTTATTCTGACTAGCATCGCATTGCGATCGGTTGTAGCAAATGCGACAAACAATCATAATTCACAATTGTGTGTAAAAGCTCACCAATAGTAATTGGTATCACAACTGTTACCCATTGTGATTAGGTTACAATCTTTTATTTGTTTCTTTTCCCTGTTTGTACTGACTGACCTGTACGAATCCCACATCAGTTGGACCATTACTTGGATCTGGCACATCCTGCCTCCTCATCCTCAGCGACCTACTACTACTTTCATCATCCTTGTATACTTCCACTTGCATGTTTGGAGAATCATTCTCTTTATTGATTTGTGTATATTTGGAGGAAGCTGCAAGGAAAATAAATTGGAATAAATCAATTACTTAACTCAATTTAATTAAGTTATGAAATATGGATTGCCATGCATCTGTACACACTCATGATACAGAAATGGAGGCATTCATCATTCTATTGAATAGTTGTAAACTTGTATCTATCTTTCCCATATTTTTAAAGAATAATAATTTTGGATATGTTTAGGGTCTTGTAGCTCAACAGGGTCACTAATATTTGTTTATTAAAAAATTTTTGAATATTTTGACCATACAGTACTACAGTAGGATACTTAATATTAATACAGAAACAACAACAACAACAACAACAACAACAACAACAACAACAACAACAACAACAACAACAACTAGAAATGCTCCTTGTACGCTGCGCAGTAAAAGCATAGCCTCCTCACGGTGTGATTTTTTCCTGAGAATTAATAGGAGTTTGTAACCAATCGGACTTACCAAACTTCAGTTATTGTGGTAACAAAAAATTTACTACATCAGCAACAATGACAACATGAAATAAAATTACAATTTCACCTGAATTAAACATTTTTGGGCAGAATTAGGATTACCTTAAATTTTCTGATTAGTTAAATATTAAATATGCAAATGAGCAATTAGTGCCGAAAACAAAAGCTTCCATCTTCTTATTACCATCTTGCATTCTGCCAAGTTTGAAACCAATCAGACTTACCAAATTTTAGTTATCTAGCCTAAATGATATAATTAGTGAAACATTAATGATGCAAATGAGCAATTAGTATATTCTCACAAGTATCAAAAACAATAACGTAGGTCCATCTTCTTATTACCATCTTGCATTGTGCCAAGTTTGAAACCAATCAGACTTACCAAACTGGTAACTAGCCTAAATCGGAATTACAAAACTTTAGTTTGTGGTATCAAATGACCAACAGCGACAACAACATTAAGAAGAACATAGGCAAAAACAATAGCCTCCCTGGAGCTTTGCTACTGTACTTGATGGTGATGGTGATGATGATGATGATGATGATGATGATGTCATCTCAGAGAGCAGCCCGCGATGGCATAAATTGAACTTGCCAATGATTGAAATCCACCAACCCCATCAGACAGCCGACATATGGTAGGTACTGTATAGGCTGCATGTTTCCTACTAAAACAATTTTTCACTATAATACTTATCAGTATTTATTTATTAATCATGTATTAACCAATGTCCAGCACTATACACTGTAATTAGGTTTCAACAATGATCAAGTTATAAGCCTGGTTCACGTCGAACTTTATCTGGATATACCCGTCTTGAAACATGATACGATAATCCCCTAATTGCGTTCATGCCAAGTTAGAGCCAGATAAACAGCCAGCCAGTTTCATGCCGTTGACGTCACACGGTGGAAAGGCTTGTTTAATAAAACATCTACTGTATTTTATGAACCTCTAGTACCAAGTGGTATTCGTTCAAAAAAAATTGTAAACTACTGTAGAGAAGGTGAGAGTTTCCACTACCTAACCTAGCCGACCAGTACGAACCAGCGACAGTGCAGCCGCGTGTTCTATCGCAATCTAAGTAGTAGATTCTCTAGGCCCTAGCTACATTTACCTTCGATAAAAAACAAATTATTTTAATCGCTAGCTAGCATTCTTCAATTTAACAAAATATTGTTTTCATTTTCATTAAAACGTATGTATACTTTATGGACATTTCTGTCCTGTTTTGTAGTTTTTAGATCGCTCAATTGTGTTGTTTACATGCACTTCGCGAAAATCTAGCTTCGCGGTGTCAAATAAGTTGCTGACTTCCACACACTTTTTTATTTCGTCATCGTAAACATGTGCGCTCATTTTAACGACTGGCGTTGGTGGTAGTTCGTTGAAATTGAATTAATAGCGACTATTATAGCAGAAACAGAAAAGATTGAAAATAAATACAACAAATCTGATTTTATTATTAAGAAAAATAGACATTATAACTTTGAAAAACGTACGCAATTGGACTTTTTAACGTTAGTACTTGGTCGATGATGCAAAGGGCAAAGGTCATTGGTTATTTCTACTATTCGTAAAACGGACGTTTGCTGGGTTTTTACCCATAGTATTACAAATAATTTCTGAAAAACAGACTAATGAGACTACTTCGATGCTGTTGTTAGCATTGTTAAAGTACGTTGTTGCCAGCCAGAAGATGATAATGGTGGTACAATACAACAACGCTGGCTTAGATGCCTATGTTACGTAATCGTGTCCTTGAAATCCGAGCCGACTTTACTGTTAAGCAAGCTAATTTACCGTTATTCTAGTAAAGTTAAGACACTTAACTTAAGTGACTTAATTCCTTCATCTAGCTATAATTGAGTGGTTCACGTCAAACTTTTAACTAGTTAAGTGGATGTATATCTAGATAAAAGTTCGACGTGAACCATGCTATAATGCTATCACAGTATGGAGTCCATAATGATGGTTTAACAGTGGTACAATACCTATGAATTCTCATATGGCAGCCCTCAGGGCCTTTAGGACTTAATTAACAAAGGGCCTGGTTCACAAGCTGCCTGTCCTCCGGGGACCCGGATTACTGATCACCAAAACAACATGAAATAAATCTAATAGGCAAATTCATGGTAGCGAAAAGGACAATATTAGTCCATTATCATAAGCATCCATTTTAACCCTAAAATATAATGGTCTCAACAATACAAAGCAGATTGTCTACATACGATAGGAAACAATATTTTTCACCAATACAGTACATGAAGAGCACAATGTGCCTTTTGAAAAATCATTGTTAGAGGTTAGAGTTGATTTTATTGTCAAGAAATGGTTTGATAATAAAACATGCATCAGGTGTTAAAAATCCACATTCCAAAGATTTTTTAAAAGATGGTCACAGGGTGGAAAATAAAATAACAACAAAATTTTGTTTTCTTATTTTTCGTGTTTATACTAATTTTAGTAAGCTTTGTTTTGCAATTTAAACCATAAAGGTTAAGGCCTGAAAATGGCACTCCAAAAATAAAAAGTTTTATAATACTTCAATAGAAGTATATTAGGCCTACAGTATTTCAAGACCAACACAGAGTGAATTTACAAATAGTTTCTTGAAGGGAAATGCAATCAATCAATCTGCTATACAAATTCTTGCAAGATTTGCTTATTGCTTCATTTGCTAACTGGTCTACACATGCACTTTACTAAATTACGATTTTTACATAATTTATTTAATACATAACTGTTATAGCAGGTTCCATTTTTTCTATTTTTTTTCGTTGCATACAAAAAAAATCTTTCTAATAAAACAAATATTGTGAGTATATTCATGTATTCAGGAAGTCAGACTAAGTATTTTTCGAGTGTTACTTCAGTGCGAGTAGGAAAATGACAGACCTATTGTTAGTTCCAACATAGGTACGTGTCATACAGTACTGTACTGTAGGTTAGAGGCCTAGAATTCTTTTTATGAGATGGTCTCAAGTACAATAACCTAAACAATGCAAATATGAAATTCATCAAACTAATGCTGAATCAGCAGGATTTATTGATTCAAGGGTTTCTTAACAATTGTTCATTATAGTCAACTTTTTTTTTTTTAATCAAAAGGGAAGGTTCTACAGTACAGACAATCAATCAACAACTGTGACTGCATTATTAGTCATCATGGTTTACGTACAAGCCATACAAAATCTAGAAGAATAGGACTAATCAGCCAAAATAAACTGTGCATTCAATCCCTTTATTCTGCCAGAAAAGTAAAAATAATCGATAATAAACCAGGAAATTACTAATAAATCATGGGGTATGATACTGTTTACTAAATATACAAGTTTATAAATCCAAGTTACATGCGATGTTGGTAAAGTACTTGTGTGGATAAATTATGGATAAAATTATTGATCAGGCTATGTGCTACAGAATGTTCTCAATTTTTATATTACTATAGGCTTACAAGACACTTTATAATTGACAGTGTCTCTTACCATTTATAGTAGTGCAATGATCATACACATAATAAGCATTTAAATCAATTGGTTACCTTAAATATTAGGTTACATACTTTATTGTTTGGCAACCAAAGATAAAAAGCACATGAAAAATGAGAAATAAGACGGAGAGATGACAAGGAAGTACAACTGGCTGAAAATAGCAAACAAGACAATGGAACTCTTTCGGTGAGATACGTCCTGCATTCCTGATGGTGACACAATTAATGTTGAAATATTGAATCCAGACACGATGGCGTGCATTTCGATACTTGGAGTATGTATTATACTATTACTGTATGTTCTGCAGTGGATTCAAAGTACATATTTTCTGTCCACAATTCCATCAAATTTTTTTGTTTACACAAAATCCAGTGTTTGTCATCGTTGCCTTGACATTATCTAATTTCAATAATTTAATGGGTCATCTAAATCGGATTAAATTTGCATTACTGTAGGTGTTGCATTACATGATTACGATATGGTAAGCAATCCCAGTGTCTCCAAGATGCTGTATTGTTGTAATTATGTACTGAATAAGGTCTACTACTGTATAAAATAGGGTAAACCGCTTTTGGTTTGACAGACATTGGTTGCATTTAACAGAAAAACTCAAAAGGGACATAAAACAATACACAACCAACTTTGTGAGTTGACAGAAACACAAAAGCGACCCTAAATTCCTTCAATCACAATTTTTCTCATAAAAAAAAATTGTTATATTTTAATTAAAATTACATTTAATACATTAATATTATTTAGCATTAAATAAATAATGCAAATAGTCAAGAGCCAATATTTTGGCAAATATATCACAATTATTTAATATTTACATGGTAAAGGCATTGGGGTCATTCCGTGTCAAATCAACCAATGGGGGTCCGGGTCACCTCTTGGATTTGGCTGAAAATTTTATATATTGTTGATCTATCTATATAATGAACACATGCAAAAAAAAAATTCCCAATTCCAAGTCGTTTGCGTGTTATGGCCTGTCAAAGTTGGGTACTAAATTTTTTTTAATTTTCAAAATTTGCCTTTTTTAC